CCGCGCCCCGGGACCCCGCAGGTACGGACTGGGCAGGGTAGGGGGCAGCCCGGCGGCGCGTCTTTAGCGTTGGCCTTACGGAGAGAGCTTCCTTTACGTGGTGGGTTTGCTGGTTTCTGCCGGAGAAGCCGTGTTTCCGGGTGGCAGCTCCGTGCGGACAGCAGCGCCCGGGTGCCGCCCGCGGTGCCGGCTGTGCTGGGGCCGGGCCGAGAGGGGAGGGCTGCGGTCTCTGCGCGGCTCGCCTGCTCACCTGCCGCTCGGGAGCCTAAAACTGCACCACGAGTTCCTCCCGGTGCGGCGGGCAGATAGAGCATTGATGGAGGTTTGTGCGTTCCCCGGTGAGAGAGGCCCCGTCTAGCCGGGAGCTGGATTCTGCCGTGGGCTGCGTGCGCCCGGGCTGGAGCTGTCTCCTTCCAGCCCTGACTCCTGGGAACGGCCAGCGGTTCCCAGCGGCATCAGCATCCTGCCAAAGCTGGAACTTGTCCGTACTCTGTCCGCTGCCTTAACGAGAGCAGGAGAGCAGGGCTGTGAAGCGCGTACCGCAGTCGTGTGGGATCAGAGCTTTCCCTGAGCTCGGGAGACTCGGGGAAGACCAGGAGCCATCTTTATAGACGGTCCTTTAAGCACCGACCTAGGAATTTCTATCTCGTCAATGCCCTCTGTGAACTGCTGCATGATTGCTTTTTCCAGGGCTTTGTCAGCTCAGCTTTACATGATGAAATTTGGCCTTGTTTTGTCCTTCTAAAGCTAGGATTAGTAGTTCCTGAATAAACCCTGCTTCTGAGAATGGCTTTACACCAAAAACATGCGTAGGTTTTTGTTTCCCCTTTCCTAGGGTTGAGGCCATTAAAAATCTTTGTTCCGCAAGATTCTAGATACAGCTCGTAACACGAAAAACTGGTTGGCACGGGTCTTTGTTCCACACTCTGTGACCTTGTCAGTGTCTGAGTGCTGCCTGCAGGTTTTTTTTTCCTGTCGGTGTATTATAAACACCAACATTCATTTCACCTTCTCTTCCTATATTCTGTTCGTTGCTAGAAAATGAAGACTCATCCCAAAAGACAGAGCCTGCAGATCAGCTAGTTGATTCTTTGGAGTCCAGTACTTCGCAGAGCGGGTAGGAAAACTTTTCTGTGTGTTGTGGCCCACATGCGTGACAGTCTGTTTCACTCCTGTGACCTCTTCCCTGCGGCATTTTGTTCTGTGCAGGTAAAGAGAAGGGACTGGAGATTGAATTTTCTGCTTCGGGACAGTGTATACCGGAATCAGTATGCGAGGACCTGTTCTTACAGCCTTCAAGGTTGTTTCAAAGCTTGTGAAATGTAGTTCATGGCTCAGCTATTCAAATCACAGAGTCATTCAGCTTGAAAGGAACCCTATGCAGTTTTACAATTCATTATAAGAGCCAGTACATTTTCAGGGGGAAATTTTCTATGTCCTATCTGAAGAATACTTTAATAATTGAGCATGCCTACTGTCAGTAGATTTGGTAGAAGCTGGATAAATTCTGTAATGCCATAGAAATAACAATTCGAAAATGATGAGAATATTTCTCATTTCTGAAAGGAGACATTTGAAGAAATACATTTTTTTCCGTTAATGCCGTATTCTCATGTTTCTGATCCTTTAAAGAAAGGCAGTTGACATTGGTTTTATAGTGCTGTGAGAAGATTTTGGTTTTCAAAAGTGCAAATATTTCTATTCCTATTTAATACTAGGTTGCTTCTCATAGTAGTTCCACATATGTAATGAGAGCATTACAGAGGACACTCTTCTGGCATATGAGCTTGTTTGGGATTATAAATCTAGCTATAGACAACATGCAGCAATTTTTTTCAATATAATTTAGAAGAAAACCCTCAACAGAGAATAAGTACCAGAGACATTTCCTTTCTTGCCCATTCTTTTCCTGCTATGTACCATTCTTATTATTTTAGCACGTCCATTTTATTTTGTTACAGTGCAGTACTCAGACCTCTTTGCTTAAGTTATTGTGTTGCCCATTGTATGTCTTACTTCTTGCTTATCTGTGGAGTATATTTGAATATGGCAGAGACACTTGGGTGCCCCCTGTATCTGTTGGGATTGCAGTAGGAAAAGGCATAGTAAAAAAAGCATAATGGACCACTTAAATAGATGGCATTCTCAGGATGGCTGTCAAAATGGTTCTGAATTCTTTCACTGATCCAGCTGACCTTTGAGGGAGTATGCAGATGCCATGCAGTAGCTGGCATAAGAGAAGTTGTCCTTTCTTGGGCAGAAAAGTTGCTACTGATGTCTGTCCTTAGTGTCCTGTTGGTGAACCAGCATGCTGTGAGGTGAGTGCAGTGAATCTCTGCTATCTAAAGGATGGTAAATATGGAATGTCCCACTGAAGTTGCTCCCCTGGCTCACATGGAAGGTAATCACACAGAGATGGCAGGACTGGGGTGGGCAGGTGTTCTTTGTCCAGTTGGCAGGTGCTGATCACAGAAGCTTGTTCTTTCAGTTTGTTGGAATTTCAGGTCCAGAGCAGTGATTCCTCTGCTGGCTGTGCCCTGGGTGCAGGTGCTGAATTGTATTCCTCTCTTCCTCCAAAAGGTCACAGGCTGGGCCGCACCTGAGCATGGGCACAAGAGAGCACTCAAAGGAAGAAATTGGCACACTGGGGTACCAGAAAGTGGCTGAACTAGAGGAGAAGCTGCCTGACCAAGTCCAGTCTCTCAAAAAGGTAGATGGATGTTTCTTATGTCTGAGAACAAAGAAGTGCAGCAACAGTTCTTCCACCTTACCTGTTACTGTGCTTGTCACTATGGGATTGAGGCTCCAGGGGTTGTGTTAAGATAAAAGTAGTATTAACATAGATTCAGTTACATTTTTTCCTATGCATTAGTGGGAGATAAATGGTATCAGTCTAATTTCCAAAATCTCTCTTGTGTCTTCTGCTAGTCCTTGCTTCCTTGCTTACTGAGGCTTCAAGGTAATTCTTACCTTCTGCTCCTACCTGTTGCTTCTGGAAATTCCATTCTTGCAGATTTATGGAAGAGGGAACTGAAAAGCCCTTGTTTCTTCTCGTGAGCAGCCAGTTTATTTGCCTTACAGACAGAGTCAGGAAAACCTGTGCAAGTGACACCGAGTTCAGGACCTGTGACTTTGCATAAGAGCAGCCCTAGTGAACCAGATGGACTTCTAACTGGGATGCAGCAATGACAGTTTGATTGTAGTCTAGATGCACGCAGAGCTGAAAGGCTCTCCCTAGAGAGATTGTGTGTTGGGAATTATTTCCAAGAATAATCAGCTAAATCTATAAATTTGTTGCTTTGTTGAGGGGTGACAATTAACTCTGATGCAAGTGCAAAAATGTGCCTGCCCAGGACTCCTGGGGAGGCCAAGGGGAGTGAAATCAGTGAAACTTGGACTTCAAAGTTCATGACTTGGTGCAGTGGGGAAAACAATGCTGAGAGGTGTCTCAGAGCTATCCTACACTAGTAATAGAAGCTTCTGCAGGTCTGACTTGGTTTCATAAAGATGCCTGTGTTATTGATGAGTTGTTTCAAATCTAGGCAGAGACTTTTTAACCAGAATGGTCTCTGTGACAATATTTCTTATGTCCTTTGTGCAGGAAGCTGTTCCATTAACCAGCTACCATGTACCTCAGGGAGTAGGGGATATAGTCATGATTCAGTCAGATCACACTGGTGCCGTGGATATCCTTTCAGCTGAGCTGGAGACCGCAGACCTCCTTGGGGAGCAGAGAAAAGGTGAGTCCTGAAGGCAGAACTGTTGTTTGGGTAACTTTTTAAGTGCCTGCCCTTGCTAGAAGAACAGAGACTGTCCTGGAGATACTTCTAATTCCTGCTGGAAATTTGGGCTCCTGGCTAGTGAGTGGAAAAACTTCACATCTGGGGCTTTTGGGAGCAGGCCCCAGAATGCAGGTCCCGTACCAGAAATGGCTTCACTGTTTTCAGGCAACAGTCAGTAGTAAAAAGTCATGTAAGCCTGTGACTTTTCCCTTGTCTCAGCTCAGCCTCCCCCTCTGGCTGCACCCACCATGTGGACCACTGAGAAGATGAAGGAATTCAAAGCCAAGATGGGAAAGGAGAAGAATGGCCGGATGGTGGTGAAGCGAGGCGAGGTGGTGACAGTCCGTGTTCCAACCCATCCTGATGGGAAATGCATTTGCTGGGAGTTTGCTACAGATGACTATGACATTGGGTTTGGAGTCTATTTTGACTGGACCACAGTTACTAGCACTGCCATTACCGTTCAGGTCAGTGAATCCAGTGATGAGGAGGATGAAGAGGAGGATGAGGAAATTGAAGGTTAGTACAGATCTTATAAAGGTTAATTTGTGTTGCTTATTGTCATGCTGTTGAGAGTATCTGTCAGATGCTATAATTTCCATCTACTTTGTTTAGTCAGCCCGTTTTCTATCTCTGTAGCCTTCTGGGCTCTTGGTTAGAGTGATTAGAAAGCATTTGGCCCTTCCTGCTTCAGCATATGTTAATGGCTATCCTCTCCAAGAGCATTCTTAAAATTGAACACATGGAAAAATAAGATCAGAATTCACTCAGTCAACTTCTAGCTGATAAAAAGATGAAAGTCTGAAATTTTAACCCGATTCTTTTTGTTAGACTCTCAGACTAGAAATGTCTGGTGGTGAGTGGAGGCAAGAAGATTTTGTTTTGGGGTGTTGTTTTTGGGGGGGATTTGTTTATTTGTTGTTTTGTTTTTTGTTTGTTTGGTTTTTTTCTTTGTTTTGGTTATTTTTTGGGGGTGATGGTGTTGTTTGTTGTTGTTTATTGGGGGGGTGGGGAAGTTTGCTTGTTTGGGTTTTTTTTTCTTTTTTTCCCCTGTACATCAGTAGCTCCTTCTGACTGTATTTGAAATGTTTGCTACCTGTGTCACTGTAATTGGGAAACACACAGTAATGTTGCCTGTTTTGTGGCTTCAGTGTATGTGTGACCAGTGTAGCTGGTGGATTTGTGTCTGAATTTTGCAGGCCCTGTAAATAGGGGTAGGTTCCTTTATGAGGAATTCTCTTGGAGAAGTGAATTAAGGACATAAACACTATGAGGTAACAGCAAAGATCTTTCCTGCCTCTCTTTGCTTCAAGTCTGTATGGTAGGACTGCTCTTGCATGTATAAAAGCAGTGAGGTATCTAAAAGGTAAGCTAAAAAAGAGAGGAGACTGGGCTGGAGGGCTATTCCATCAGTATTCCCAAGAGAACTGGTTCTTGTTATGACCTTTGTTATGATAAGGGAGACTGGACTTTGTGGGAATTATTTGCAGAAAGGTTGGAGGGGATGCTCTGGATAATGCTATCACAGTTAGCTTTCCATGTAGCTGCAAGTCTGTGTTACATTCTGGTCCTGTTAGTCTTTTTCTGGGTTATGTAGTGGTTCTGGACTACTTACTTGTCTCTTCTGTCCCATTCAGGATTGTCCCCTGCAGGTGATGTGGAACGGGGTTCCAAAAGCTATCTGCGGAACCGCTATGGAGAGATCATGCCTGTGTACCGGAGGAACAGCCATCGGGAGGTACAGGCAGGCAGCCATGAGTACCCGGGCGAGGGCATCTACCTGCTGAAATTTGATAACTCGTACTCTCTGCTCCGCAATAAGACTCTGTTCTTTCACGTCTACTACACTGGCTGAAGAGGAGGGAAGGGGCAAGGATGGCAGGCAGGTGATGGTGAGTGTAGCAGGCTGCCACCCAGCCCTGGTACTGCCTGACACACTGCTGTGTGACAGAACCATGGCGCAATTCTGCCAGCTCTTCTTCAGACTTGAACTGGTTCTCCCCACACCCTTCTTCCTTCTTCCCTACTGTCCCAGGGGAGAAAGGTAGTTGTGACTGCCTGGTTGTTCCCAGGCAGCTGCTCTTTCTCCAAAACTTCAGGAGGTCTGCTCCATGCAGGCATTGGGCTGGGCCTTCACGTCACTGCTGGCAATTGTCCAGAAGCCACATTCAGGTGGTTGTGGTTCTGATCTGTTGTGCTGTTACAAAATGAAGTGAAGATAATCTGTTACTATTTTGTGAATAACTTTTCCAACTCTCCTGCTGCATCTGCATCACTAGAGGTCAGCTGTTAGCTTCAGTGAGCCAGAAGCACAGCTGGTTTGTCACTTAGCCAGGGTAACCCCATCACCTACCATTGCTACAGCCACCAGCAGTCAGTGCTTCCTTCACTCACGAGTGGGAGGGAGTGCAGCTGGCCAGCAGCACCCTGTGCTGCAGTGACTTGGCAGTGATACAACAGGTGGGCCCCAAATAGCAGTCACAGCTCATGCTTGAACAGGGGGTGGGAGCAGGGTGCACACCTCATAGTCCATAGGAAGGCTTTTCCACAGATTAAGAATTGGATGTTGTATCTGTTGATTATAGGCATATGTAGATAATTAAAACCTCAGCGATTACCAGAAGTTTTTTCTGTAATGCAGATGTGAAGCAGAAGATATTACTTAACACCATGCTGAATGAATACAAAATGGTTGGAATACAACTATAAATACACAGGAAATGTTTCTTAGTAGCAGGATGTTGGTTCACTGATATTGCACCCATATGTAGCAACGAAAAGGCTCCCAGAGAAGTGCAGTTTGTCAGCTGCTATTGCTGTTGCAAAGGTATTGTTAGGAAGTTTCTTGGCATGTTTTCGTGACTAGTGATGGTATCAGTTACCACTTTCTGCTTAAGTAGTGGCTGAGTTGAGCAAGGAAAAGTTAATCCATCAGAGATGAATTTTAAAACATGTTAATTGTTGTTTATTTTAATACTTTTAACTTGAAATAGTTCTCTTTTCTAAGAATACTGCTGTATTTACATTTTGATACCTCTTTGCAGAGACAAAAAATTACTTTCCATGGTGATACTAGAAAAGTTCTGAGTTTTATTTTTAAATCGTCCAGGTAAAGCACCTCTACTTGGTCCATTCCTTCTATTGAGAGGAAATGATGGACAGAATTATTTGGGGTAGTTAAAGCCAAAGATTTTGCTCTCATAGGAGGGCTGCGTATTTCCTATAAAGGGTATATTGTAATGCTGTACAATTTGCTCTATATTCAAGCTTACTTTTAACTATCTCTGCTTACTGATTCACTGCTCCAGAGCACTTAGGAGGTCAAAATGGTAAGAGAGAAAGCAGTAGAGCAGCCCAAGCTGTGAGCAGGAGGAGTGGAAATTGGAAGAGCATTGCTTGGAGTACAGTGGTTTTCTGGGTGAGTGGGCAAGGAGCAGAGTTGCTGCTGCTTTGGGCCCTGAGATGGGGAGAAAACAGCCACCTTCCTCAAAAGAGAGAGTGTGTTCACCAGGATGGGGGGGAACTGCACAGCTACCTTATTCAAGCAGGTCAAGCACAGGGAGACAAAACAGTAGGGCTTGGTATCTGTCAGAGCAAGATGCTCTTTCAGTTAGCAACTTGGAGAGGGCTATTCCTTCCTTTAACCTCTCATGGATGAAATGAAGAAACATCCTGTGGCCTTTATACAGCACCTGAATCAGGCCCGAACAATTTAGGTAAGGTGTTTTTTTTTTTTCATCCTTTGTCTATCAAGTTCCTAGATATTGCTGATGGAGTGACACACTTCACTTCTAACAGAGAAGTAGTAGTGGTTTGTTTGCTGATAAAAAAACCATCAGTTTTCAGAACATTTCATAGTTGGTGTGTTGTGTATAGCCTAGGAAATAAGAGGCTGGTGGAACAGCACTGCAGACAGGGATCTGGGGGTCCTGGTTGATGACAAGTTGAACATGAGCCAGCAGTGCCCTGGCAGCCAGGAGGGCCAGCGCTGTCCTGGGGTGTATCAGGCACAGCATGGCCAGCTGGGAAAGGGAGGGATTGTCCTCTGCTGCTCTGCACTGGGGCAGCCTCACCTCAAGTGCTGGGGGCAGTTTTCATCACCACAATATAAAAAAGACATTAAGCCATTAAAGACCATCCAAAGAAGAGCCACAAGGATGGTGAAGGGTCTGGAGGGGAAGCCATGTGAGAAGTGGCTGAGGTCACTTGGTCTGTTCAGGCTGGAGGAGAGGAGACTGAGGGGAAACCTCATTGCAGTTACAGCTTCCTTGTGAGGGGCAGGCACTGATCTCTTCAATCTTGAGACCAGTAACAGGACTCAAGGAAATGGCATGAAGCTGAGTCAGAGGAGGTTTAGGTTGGGTATAAGGAAAAAGTTTTTCATTCAGATGGTGGCTGAGCACTGGGACAGGCTCCCCAGGGAAGTTATCACAGCACCCAGACTGACAGAGTTCAAGGAGTGTTTGGACAATGCTCTCAGGTACATGTTCTGATTGTTAGGGTGTCCTGAGACAGAAGCTGGACTCAATGATCATGATGAGTCTCTTCTAACTCAAGGTACTCTGATTCTATGAACCTTTTGTACCAAGTCACTGGAGAACACCCTAAAGCCATTTATGATCACACAGAAAACACTGGGCCAATGCCAGAAGAAAAGTTGCACATAAAATACAGAAGTTGGTCATGTCCCAGAGCAGTAAGATCAGCCACATACATGTATGGTCAATGCCAGGGCTCTTCAGTCTGTTCTTCAGCCTCTGGGAAAACTTGGTGGTGTTGAAACTCCATGGTGAAATTTTGCAGGACTGTTGAAGGAAATAAAAATAGGAATTACATTTTTCCTAGAGGTTTCACTAGGTTGTTTCTTACCTTATATTTTATGTTGTTAATTAGGAAAAAATACTTTTGTTCATCACTCAATGCTTGTCAAGGAAGTGTTTTTGTAAAAGTGGGTCAAGCTTAAGTCAATCTGTGAACTCCAAATTGTCACAAATTTATGGAATTTCACCTATTTCCATTACCTAAAATACTGTATCAGGTAAAATCTTACAGTAGAGAATTAGACTAATAATTTTCTTCCCACAGATGATGTAGGAAGTAAAAGATACCAACGACATGGGAATGGCAGGTTTATTTATTAAATGCTTTAACAATACAAGGCAGTCTCTGAAAATAAGGTCAATGCTAGAATTAACTGTCGCAAATTGTCAGGAGATGGGACTATATACTTCTTTCCCAGCTTCAGTGGGTCTTATGAGAAAGAAGGAAGAAGGTCTGTATCCTTACAAATTATGGTCTCTATCCATCTGATACAGACTGTAACAGGTGATGTGAAAGCAGAAAAATTTGAGGAAGTTCAATAATTTAAATTCAGACAGAAATTCAGAAATTCTCAAAAATCTCTTGTCTCTTCAGGCCTTTAGACTCAGAAAAGTGTTTAAATAATTTTTTCTTAGAAATGAGATTTTTTTTCATGTGCTGTTTTATAAAATAAATAAACATTTCATTAAAATTTATTGAAATTATCATTGCTAATAAAATTGGAATTATTGAAACCTCTAGAAACACTCTAAACGCAGTTAACAGTTCAATTGTATTTTGCACAACTATTCATACCCATATAGTAAAACAAGTCCTTAAAAAGCTGACAACAAAATCCAGCAGTAGCAGTTGAGTATTATGAAGACACTTCTTCAGCTCAGGCCACCTGAGTTACACATCACATTCTGCAATTGACAGTATCCTTTCATAATAGCTTCTGGTTTAAAGGAGAGTTGAGTTAGAAAAGCAAATCACAAGGAAATATATGTTTGGGGATTTTGCTCCCCTACCCTTTTTGAAGCGTTGGTTTGCGAATAATGAAAATTAATGATTAAAAATGTGACAAAGAGAATAATGAAGCATCATTCAGATAGCAGGATCAGTCATGTCAGTCAGCTCACACACATACAGTACAAAATACTTGGACAGACAAGGACTGGAAGGCAGGGCTGTGCCAGGAACATCAGAAATGATCATGATGTGGCTGCAATGTGTGACTCCTCCAGTACTTATGGATTACAGTACCCCTGTGCCTCATGAAGCACTACATGCAGCAGTAACTGTAGGATGCCTAGTTCTCCTCATATGCTCTAAAGGCTGTTCTCATGGCTTCCAAACCCATCCCCTCTCCCTCCTCACCAGGTATCCTGCACTCAGGTCAGTGCTGTGAACCAGGTGTAACCCATCTCCAGCATACACAACCGCACAGGCACAGCACCCCAGCACGTGTAACCTGTCTCCCACACAGCTCTGCAGGTACAGCAGCCTGGTCTAGTTGAAGGTGTGTCTGCCCATGGGAAAGCTGTTGCAACTAGATGATATTCAAGGTCCTTTTCCAATCCAAAACATTCTATGATTTTATGAGTAAATGTGACAATAATTTAACAAGATATGATGTAATCAAGGTATTAGCAAGGTATACTTAATTGTTTACTGCATAGAGGGCAGGGTCAGACAAAACTGTCAGGGAGACCCTCTGCTGAGTCGGGAGGCTCAAAAAGGACCTCCTTATTTCTTAAACTCCTTGAGAGGAATTTAGGTGTGTCTGGATCCAGACTTAGTCCCAGACTTGGCTAGCAGTTTACATCTAAAGGATTATGTGCACAGTCAATCCTGTATCTCACTTAGCTAAGATTTCAAGGTTTTGTGTGCAATTTAGCATTTAGTGAGAATTCACTAGCAAGGAATCTCTCAGCCTCAAGAAGTTAACCTTAAGAGGCATCACTAGTCAAGTGGAGATCCTGGGGTACAGCCTACTGCCATGCAAGAGACAGTAACAGGCCCTGGGCTGTCCACTGTTTAGAGTAAGATGATTGACTTACAGTCATATTTGCACACAGGCAGTGTTTTGGGTTTTCTTGTGTGGAACTGGTCCTAAGCTTTTGAGCAAGACTTACGGCCCTTAACTATTGTGATCTTATCTGTCTTCTCAGAGTCAGTCCTACTGACCACCACTGGTGGCTGGCTATTGCTTGAGCAGAAGTGGGAGGGGAGAGCACACTGTCCCCTAGGCACTAAGCAGAACATAGAATAGACCCTTCAGTCTGACCACAGTGTCAGCATTGCCCCACTCAATGATTGCTGTTGGTCCTTGGCTGTGAGATCTGCAGAACCCTATGTGTGTCTGCTGGTTAACGTGTTTAGCACCTGTTTGGCACCTACTCTGCTTTCTAATTAAGATTTCTTTATGTTGAAGGGAACTCTGACTTGTATGTACATAAGATGTTCCAGAATTGATCTTCAGCTGCACAGCTTGTTTCAGGCCAGTGGGTTATCTCCATTTAAAACTATACTGTAGCCTACCTGTTGCTAGCTTGCAGCTACTACCCTCTTCTGTCTGTTGCTCATAATAAGATTTGAAATACGTTTTGTCATGTTTTAAAAAATTAATAAGGCCTGCCTTAGAACCAGCTTTGATCACTTACTGACACATAGATAGTATGTGCCAGTTTTCAATCCATCAGTTAATGGGTTTTGGTAAGATAAATTGCACTGTAGGTAGCAAACCTATTGTTCAGATCCCTGCTTTCTGAAGTGTGGACCAATCTTTAATAAGGCTTGGGTCACTCTTTTGGAACTGTGCCCATCTACCTGGTCTCATTGACTTAAGCCCAAAAGCAGCACTGAATGTGGAATATCATCCCAATGAGTATGTGCCCAGCCTGCAAATGCAGCGTGCTCACAGGCCTGCTGTAGTGGAACTGAAAGCATTTGGTGTGTGTTGTTTCACTGCTTAAGTTTCCCAGAAGTATCTGGTATCTTTTATGAACATAAGATAGTTTAAGGAATATTTAATCTTCAGGAAAGCTTCACAGTTGTGCAGGATAATTCCTCTTTTTTTTTCATTTTCTTGTATTTCCCTATGATACAAGTATGTTGTTTCTCAGGTATTCAAATAGCATTTATTATCAAAGTGACAGCTTCTTTTTGGAAGGACATGCAGTTTTTAATAATTCTGTGATAAATCAAATAGCTTGGCTGTGTGGCTAGTGATTAACAGCAGTCATTCCCATTCAATATCAAACCCATAGTTGTTTCAAAGAAATAATAATATTTCACATGTGTAATTTTTTCAGTTTGGTATATTTCCTGGATTTGTATTCAATCCTGCTAGCTGTCTTAGGCTGTTATGGAAACCCTTCTTTCTTATTTAAATAGACATGTTTGGAATTAGACCTTGGGTCAAGAAAGAAAAATAAATTTTAAATACAGTTGCACTTCAGAGAGGGAAATTAATCCTCAGGAAAGGAAAATTTCTTCTTTGTTTCTGTGGAAGGAACATTTCAAATAGGTTTTAATATATCTTTCCTTTCCCTCTGTCTCTAGAACTTCAGAAAGCTAAATCAAGGAAGAAGCTTCTTTTGCATTTTGGCTTTGCTTCTGTGAAAACACAAATTGTTTTCCATTTTGTTTTGAATATAATTTAGATCTAAATAAAATTTACCTGTTCAGTCAGAGATATATCCTTTAGCAAAGGACTTGTATAAAAATTACTTTGTATAAGTGTTTAGTTATAATAATGGTACTAATCTGTTTGACATTTTTTATGTCAGAGAAGGTAATAAGCTCTCCATTGTTTTCTCTTTTTTGCTTTAGGTGTAATGTAGCAGCAGTAGTTTAAAATTATTGAGAACAGAGAGTTAAAATTGCTCAAATCAAGGACCACTACTGGTACTGCTTACATTTACTCAGACTCTTTGGAGGCCTGTAATACATGTTCTCAGGAAAGGGTACTGGTGTCAGACACAGGCTTCTAGCAAATTAATGCTTGGGATCCATTTAATATGCACAAACAGGTAAGATGAAAATGTGCTAAGAGGAAGAGCTTAGTTACCTGACTTCAGGTGCTAAGAAAGTCAAGTTACTATGCACTGAGTCTAGAAGGCAGCCACATTCCTTTCTTGGTGGCTGTCAGCTTGTCTCCTTGTACCTGTGTGTGCATGTAACCTCCATATATGGTCAGCAGTGGGTCAGTTACTGTAGTGCTGGACCTGGTGAGGTGAATTTGAGGTTAACCTTATTATAAGTCTAGCTGCTGAAAGATTTTGTTGTTCTTTTGGGGAATTAGGGTAGAGAATGAATTCCTAAATGAGTTCACTTTCATCCCCACTGCCTATACTCTTCCTTCTTGTCTCACTACCCCTATTAAAGCCACTCTACAGAGAATTTATCACAAGGTGCCTTAGGAACAAAGAGCATGTCTGAAATAAGAACCATAGGTTCATTAATACAAGAGATTTCTTCTTATTTCTCTGCCCATTTGGGTAGGGGTGGTACTCGCTAAGGTCAGGCAGGGAGAGCCCCTCTAGGCTGTTCCTGGAGATCTAATGTGTTCATAGATGGCCTTGTTGCTGTAAGATGAGTGGTACAATGGCATTTGAGTTTCCTGGTGCCATACATTCTTTGCCTTCATATGCTGCTGTCAGATGTCTAGGAACACCAGAGGACTATTCCTTTTGATATGCTGACACTAAACCCAAGGACCAGAGGAACATTAGATAGATAGTAGAAGAGTGTTTCTTATGGCCTTTCATAATTTTCACTAAAAAGAGTGTTGAAATCCTGACTAGTGAGTGGTGTGTGCTTATGCATATTGAGTGTGGATGAGAGACCAAGGCAACAAAGCTTTTTGTTTGGGTTTTTGTAATATCTACAAGTGTAAAAGAAAAGACTATTTCTCCTTTTCTCGTATCTGGGAAAATATTGGATGTGACAATGTCATGTAGATGAATTATGAATGCCACAACTGGCAGAATGAAGAACTGATTGTGTTAAATACATTGCTAATTAGACTGTGAAAGAAGAAAGGAGTTTAACAAAGTGCTAAAGCATTTATCTAAAGAAGCTGATTTGCAGTAAATACCAATTAAATAAAATTTTAGAAGGTACATAAAATAGCAGAGTTCAAATGTGTATCGCAAGGAGGAGAGTTTTCTGCGGGAATAGTCCACATTTGTCTGGAGACAGTCTCTGGCTACTTACTCTGAAACTTTGGTGCTGTTGCAGCTGAAGGCACATCAGGCCAGGTGGATGATGGATCTGTGTCCCCTTGACTTTTCTAGTTTCCATTCTGGATTTTACTTGTTGCTTTCTCAGAATCATTGTACATTAAATGTAGCCTTTATTGGAAAAGGAGAAAGGAAGAATTTTCTGAGCCATCAGTGATAGTTATCTATTTTAAATCCATCTGGGACTGGTGAGTCAAGTCCCTTGGGCAAGAAGCAGGATGCCAGCCACAAAATTCAGAGCTAAGGAGACCTTGCCAAGTAATGACCTTGACAGTTAGGAGCTGTTTATTTATAATTTGGAAATGATAAATAGCTAGAGATGGCCTTCCTGCAACCTCTGAGATCTCCTGGGAACAGCTCTCCTCAGAGGGAAGCAGGTGCTTTCCACTCAGAGCTCCAAGCCATTAGCAACAGGCTTTCAATGGGGAGCACCTTGTAGCTGGTCATAACTTTTTCAAACTTATGTTCTTGTGAACTGTGATGGTTGTTTGTCAGTCCTTATCTATGTGATGTGAATATTTTTGATGTCCTGTGATTTCAAAATTGAGTACTCAGCGCCAACTGTTTGCTTTTCATGTGCTCACCAGGAGGTGAGTTTTAAATAGAGAAGAGGATATTAAAAAAAACCAAAAAAGTGGCACTGGACTCTTTCTGAAGGGTATGTATGAAGGCTATATTTATAGTGTGCTTGCATTCCTTCTACAATTGGTTTGTATTGTTTATATTTGATGTGTTGTGGTTGATTTTTAGTAATATATTGGAACTTACTCCCTTTAAATAAACTTTTCACTATGCAACCAAGGACTTTGTCTTCTTTCTAAGGCTAGTGAATATCTTGATATAAAAAATTCAACTGCAGACCTTCCAACAAAACAAGAATATAGTTAGTTTTAGGAGCAAAGAAAGATGCAAATACACAAAATACACTTCATGATGTGCAGGAGATTCTGATGCAAATGGATAGGAAAATTCTCTGTTGTCAGCTCATGATAATGGTTCCAGCCACAAAATCTTTTGTGTGTTAAAATGACTTGCTGGAATATTTTTATGAGATTGTACTGAATGCTTGAGGAATTGAAGAGGAACAAGCAAGTAGCCAGGCTCATATAATGGACATAGGCAGAGTTTGAATACTTTACCCTCCAGTTCTTCATACTGCTACTTGTCACCTCTATTTGCAGAGATCCCCTAGATCCTTTGTAACTTCAGCTTTCAATCTGGAGGATTTAAAAACATCTCTTCAGTTATCAGATACTCATTAAATTGTCTGGAGAAAAGTGCCCTTCACAGCTCCTCCCAGCTGCTTTGCCCATCAGCTTTATCATACTACAAAGGCTCTACTTACATGTCCTGAAAAAGAAGCACTTGCTGGCCAAAATGAGGAATGATGCCTGTAGTAGGAATCATCTTTTCTCACCTATCTTATTTTAAGTTTGGTAGGACAAGTGCTGCCGAGTTTCAATTCTCTGTTCTAGTCTGATGTTCCCTTGGAGCACTTTCATAAATTAATTGATGGGCAGGAGCAATCATAAACCAAGCTGATCCAAAGAATAGATGATTCTGCCAAGCTAAAGATGTTTCATTGCAATTTAAGACCACCAAAGAGAAACAGTGCTACAGCTACTTTATTTGCATTGCACTCAAGATAAATCCTTGTGCTTGGTTCAGACCTAGGGCCAAGTGGAAAACTAAGAAAAACTGTGGGGATGCAGGGAAGTGAGGCAAAATTTCACATTAGTTCTTTCCATCCACCTCCACTCTGCCACTCTCTTTCCCCCATCTGTAACTTTGGTGGATGGGCTGCAGCAGAAACACTCTGATCATGAGTTACTCTGTGAAGGTCTTGCAGCAGGCTTTGTTGCCTGTGCCAGGGAAGTGGCTCTTCCCTGTTTCAGGTGAATAGGGAGAATATTGTACTTTGGCTGCTGAAGTCCTGTCACTGCTTTTAGTAGTGTTTGATTATCTGTCAGTTTTCAAGCAAGGCAGAAACCCTGGCCAGAGCCAGCACGGTGGCTATCTCCAGCCACACGGACCATATCCCACAGCATCAATGTGATGGATGGCGAAAATGGTGTTTATTGCAGGGGAATTTAACATTTTATAACCCAGGGTCACTGTGTTACTCCCATCTTCTTACATCATCGTTAGGTGCTATTGGCTAATTACAAGAGACTTTACTATCCTAACAGAGAGGGGTGGGTTACTTGCTTTCCGTTACATCCCGAATTCTTCTGCACGCAAGGCCTTAAACTACAACAATTATCAACAGCAGTTTAAAGTTTAGCAGAGCTACTCATTGTTATACAGGTGGTATCAGTTACCCAGTGGAGCCTCTGTAATAACACACATATACACACATGTAATTACTGTTTAAGGAGTATCTGCCACCATCCTGCCTTCAATATGAGCCCTGACTGCAGAGTAAGAGAAGCAAGGTTCACACCTACTCTTTTTCATGAAGGCTACAAGAAATGTTTATGCTGATTTAGGAATTGGCAAACAAATTATCTCTCTCTGGAAAACGTCATGTGGCTTGGGCTCAAGAAATGGTGAACGTCTGGGTCACAAGTCCTTTGAGGAGTGGCTGAGGGAGCTGGGGTTGTTTAGGCTGGAGAAAAGGAAGCTCAGGGGAGACCTTATCACTCTCTATGACTGCTTGAAAGGAGGCTGTTGCCAGGTGGGAATTCGCCTCATCTCCCAGGCAGCCAGTGACAGGACAAGAAGGCATACTCTCAAGCTATGCATTAGAAGGAATTTCTTCACAGAAAGGGTGATTATATACTGGAATGGACTGCATGGGGAGGTGGTGGATTCAGCATCCCTGGAGGTGTTTAAGGAAGGACTGGATGTGTAGTGCCCATGTCTAGCTGATACGGTGGAGTTCAGTTATTGGCTGCTCTCGATGATCTCAGAGGTCTTTTCCAACTAAATTAATTCTGTGATTTTGTAGAGGCTGATTTGGTACGAAGGTACGGCTGGTCCCAGCTTCGGAAGGCCTCAGCAGCCAGCCCTACTCCCCCCTACCTCCTCCCGGCTTGGCATTGCTGCCGCCGGCACTGTCGCTAATGGGGCTGGCCGCGCTGAGGGCAGGGCGGGTCCCGCGGGCCGCTCCGCAGCTGTGGGGCCGGGCCG